TCTAGCCTACACTTGAAACAATCACGTAGTCCCACGTCGATTATATTACCGGCAATAAGTTCCATAAATCAATCCTGTTTCGAGAAGCAAAGATGGGAGCCCCCTCCCCATCTCCCCCTTCCGTGCAGGTAAAGTCTTTCACAAGATAAGAGATGATATCCGGGGAATATGCTTCAAGGTAACACGAGGTATTGTCAACACGGGAGGAAGCCATTATCGCGGCTCACTGATGTGGTTATCATCACTTTCCTGCGTGCTGGCGTGGCCCAATAGGTTAAGGCAAGCGCCGGCTATTCACCAGAACGCCGGCTCAAATCCTCCCATTACTCCAGTTGATTTTCTCACTTTCCTGTGGTGTGTGTGTTGCCACGTTCTTGTGGTCGTGGAGCATGCGTCTTGCTTCGTGTACTGAGAGCTATTTTTTTTACCAAACCCATTTAGCTTTTTACATTCATATATTCCTTTAAATACTGGCCTAAGTAGCTGCTGTTCTATGCCGTTTTGGCAAGATGGCGATGCTGGGAGACGCCCAATGTTGTATAAATAGCTTGAGAATCGTCTAAATTATTTATATTAATCCTTATACAATCTATAGGGATTGTGGGTATGTTGGCTACGGGTCTATGAGGGGCTGTGTCGGTGAACTGACTGGAAAAACAATCACAGCTCTGCTTATATATTATATAACTCAGGTTATATAACCCGTCCTCAGACCAAGTCCATTCCATCCAGCGGTCGACCCCAAAAGACGCATTCATCAATTTTAACATGCTGCTCATTCAAAACAGGAATTTTCTCAAATATAAATTAATATTATTATATATTAGCCTATTAATTGTGCATATTTAGGCATTAGTTAGGTGTTTAGGTTCAGTTGGCGATTATTTGTATTTGTAGTCAACCCGTCCTTACACTAGGCTGGTTAAAGCAGCGGCCGTCCTCCCCAGACGCATTCATCAATTTTAACATAATGTGTATTAAAAGTTGGTTTGTTCTCATATATAAATTAATATTATTATACATAAAAATTATATGCATAGTTAGGCGTAGGTTAGACTAGGTTTCTAGGTTCTATTGGCGATTATTATAATTTATATTTGAAATACGTGGGTGAAGCATTTATAAAATTGTGGTTCGAACAAAAGTCGTCAGCGAAGCACTTGTTCAGAAAGTGTTCGGACGTCATTAGTTGTGCAGTCCGTCCTGTAAACAAAGATCTAAAGTCCATTCCATGCACCCGCCAAACCCCCTGTTTATGAATGAAAAACCGTTTACACACGACTCACAACTGATGACGTTCGAACACTTCCGTAACAAGTGCTTCACTGACGAATGTTGTTCGAACGAACAAATCCACGAAGCAGCCCGTCCTCCAAACAAAGATCCAAAAGTGATTCCATGCACCCGCCAAACCCCCTGTTTATGAATGAAAAGCGGTTTACACACGACTCACAACTGCTGACATTCGAACATATCCGGAACAAGTGCTTCACTGACGAATTTTGTTCGAATCACAACACTATAAATGCTTCACCCACGTACTACAAATACAAATAATCGCCAACAGAACCTAAACACCTAACCTAACCTATCCTATGCCTATATATACACAATATGCTAATATATTACAATATTAATTTATACTTGAGAAAATTCCCGTTTTGAATGAACAGCAAGTTAAAATTTATGATTGCGTCTGTGGGGTTGACCGCTGAGTGTAATGGACTTGAGTCGAGGACGGGCTGCACGAAGGCCGTGACGAGGATTCGAACCTACGTTCGAGAGCATCCCAGACGCTGCCTTAGTCGACAGAGCTACAACTTGGTCAATTGTTCGAACCACAACGCTGTAAATGCTTCACCCACGTACTACAAACACACCAACAGAACAACAATAATCGCCAACAGAACCTAAACACCTAACCTAACCTGTGCCTAAATATGTACAATATGCTAATATAAAATAATATTAAATTATATTTGATAACATTCCTGGTTTGAACGAAAAGCATGTTAAAATTGATGAATGCGCCTTTGGGATCGACCGCTGGATGGAATGGACTTGCTCCTAGGACAGGATGAGTTGAGTCGTGTGTAAACCGTTTTTCATTCATCAACCAGAGGGGTTGGCGGGTGCATGGAATGGACTCTGGCCTTTGTTTATGAGGACGGACTGTATAAAATGCATGTTATCCATCATCCTAATTTCTGCTGCATACAAAAAGTGTCGTGCCATGTGGCTCTGTTTCCAACCACAATAAAAAAGACTACAGCAGCGCCCTATTGATCTGAAAGGAATGACTGAACACCAATTCTTAACTGTTCATCCAGCGGTAATTGAGTACTCAGTCGTTAGTACCTGTTCCATGATGAAAACTAGCAGGATAAGGCTTTTAAGACGAGCTGTGGGAAGGAAGAGCTATAAACTATATATATATCGATTCTCACGTTAACTGACATCAGTGTTTCATAAAACATTAAAACTAGCCTCATAGCTCGTCAATCTGTGTATTGAAAAGTTAACTTATGAAGGGCAAAACAAAATCCTCTTTTCCCGGCAGTAACAACATAACGTTACACGAGAATTGAACTAAATCAGCATACGTGAAGAGCGAGGATATTATAGACGGCAATAAAATATATAAGTACGAGGTTGTGGGCCAATATGGTGGTGCCTGAGGCTCGCTGGCACTCGCTCCGCCCAGTCCCCGCGCTCGCTCCGCCCACTCCTCGCGCTCGCCCCGCCCACTTAGCTGAACTTCAAAGAAAATGGGAAATATATGTATATGCGCAGGAGTAGCTAGTGTAATATGTGAGACACTTGAGCATACTTGTCGAATTGCTTAAGTGTCTAAGATTATATATATATATATATATATATATATATATATATATATATATATATATATATATATATATATATATATATATATATATATATATATATATATATATATATATTCTAGAAAGAAACGGTTATTGGAAGGTCAAGGTGGTTTATATTCAGATCATTGAAGCCGGCTGACTGGTGTTAAAACCTCGCATTTTTTTTAACTAAACGTCCAGAATAATAGATCTCAATCAATAGACCTCAATCCTTCACTTCAAGGATGGAGTGATCACTGGCATGTCCTCCATTATTCTCTCTAAATGGACCATCAGCGCCGCCGGAAGCAGGTTACGGCCCAGAATATGTCTTTAACACGCCTTTCCGCAATTACGACAATGTTCTGAATATATTCCGTCTTTGGTTTCAGCCCAGTGCTCCTGCCTCATGCACATCACCCGTTATTCTCGCTCCCTGCAGCCCTGGCGCCTCCCTCTCCTGCATGCACTCCGCTTTCCTGCATGCGGCCTTCAAACCTCTGACATGAGGCTGACGTGAAGCAGAGATCAGCTCCTGGAAGTCTGCCTTCTACCTCCCCAGAATCTCATCTCCTCTCCTACAGCAGAGCACTCGTCCTCCACCTCTGCTGGGATGCCTGCAGAGGTGGAGGCATCCTAGCCGCCCCGTCCCCTGCCAAACACGGGTCTTCGTACATTCTTCCTCCTGGACCTTCGGAAATACATCTACTGGCGCTCTCTTTTTGCGACACCTTTGTGGCCCCGTTCCCTTTCCTCTAGTGGCAATGATCTCGTTACGGAACAAGAGCAAATAGTCAACAAACTCTTCTTTCTTATCACCAAGTGCTTTATCTCTTCTGGTCCTCCCCCCCACCCATCAACACTAACGCTCATCAGAGCGCCCCTCCATTACAAAGGACCCCTTCCCCCGCCCACCCCAAGGAACACCCACTCCCCGCCCTCTTGACAACACGTGTCCTCGCCAGCCCCAGGACAACAAGTGGGCGTGTGAAGTGCAAATCACAGCTGTGATTCATTGCACCAGCTGGGGCGTGACGGCGTGGTGAGTCGGACATATTAGCTTCGTGAATTGTCGCCTCTCCACGCAAACTGCGCACTGCTTTCTTGAACGACGCAATTAGCAAGATTTTCTTTGTGAGAGAGGGTGAGGGAGTGAATTATTACGTAAAAGCGCAAAGCCAATACGACTATATAGCACTGGGAAGGGGTCGGGATAAGGATTTGGGATGGGACGGGGGGGGAGGGGGAAGGGGAGGAATGGTGCCCAACCACTTGGACGGTCGGGGGATTGAACGCCAACCTGCATGAAGCGAGACCGTCGCTCTACCGTCCAGCCCAAGTGGTTGGGCAAGGGGGGGGGGAGCGGTTGGACATTAAAATTGATGACGTGAAAGAAAGAGAAAAGTTTACACAGTTATGTTAGGAACAGGTTTCTGACGATGAAGAAATGGATGAAGTTGAAGTGGATGAAAAATGGATGAAGTGGATGAAGTTCGTTAAATCACATCAGCAAAATGAGAAATACAACACTGTAACATGACAGATGTGGGATTGTTGGATTCTCACAATCACAGGTTTGGTAAGTTTGTGTAAGAGTGAAGCCAGTTAGCAGTAAGACCATTCCTACGGAAGGCAGAGTCTGCCGGGAGTTAAGAGTCTTCTTTCATAGACGTAAAGTTATGGATGATAAAAAAGGATTAAAATCCTGTGATTTATATTTATACTTTGCTTGTGTTAAGCTGTTCAGCAATATGAAGCAATATCGCTGATCACTCAGCAATTGACTTGGATGTCATGTATGGGTGTGTGTGTCAAGTGTATGTATCATATGTCTACTGTATATGTATAGAAGCTGCCTAGCATGGGGTCAATAGGCCTTCTTGTATTCCCTCTCGTGTGAGTGGCATTTCCTGTTGTCGGGGACAGGATGCCTGCGCATAGTCTTTATCGAGGTCCTCTTTGGCCACCCTATACTGACCTTCCCCAGGATGCAAACGCCTGGGTATCGAACGCGGGTTCATCGATTGTGAGGCAAGAACGTAGACTACTGTACCCATGAGGGCATGTATACTGATTAAGGAAGGTTATGTTGAGAAGCTATATGTTGTATGCTGATGTATGAGGGATGTGTTGCAGGGAGGAGCTGGCCATGAAGATTGGACTGACGGAGGCGAGGATCCAGGTGTGGTTCCAGAACCGACGAGCCAAGTGGAGAAAGCAGGAGAAAGGTCAGTCCCTAGCCCCAGTCCCTAGCCCCAGTCCCTAGTCCCAGTCCCTAGTCCCAGTCACTGGTCCCAGTACCTAGTCCCAGTCCCTAGCCCCAGTCCCTAGTCCCAGTCACTGGTCCCAGTCCCTAGTCCCAGTCCCTAGTCCCAGTCCCTAGCCCCAGTCCCTAGTCCCAGTCCCTAGTCCCAGTCACTGGTCCCAGTACCTAGTCCTAGTCCCTAGTCCCAGTCACTGGTCCCAGTCCCTAGTCCTAATCCCTAGTCCCAGTCCCTAGTCCCAGTCCCTAGTCCCAATCACTGGTCCCAGTACCTAGTCTCTGGCGCCCCAAGTCCCTGTCTTTTATCTCAATTTTACCATTGAAAAAATTTAAATACACAAGTGACTGAGTAACACAAGTGACACAAGTGACAATACTCCAAGTAACTGAGTCAGATCTTAGGGCACTGGAGCGACGGTCTCGCTTCTTGCAGGTCGGCGTTCGATCCCCGACCGTCCATGCAAGTGGTTGGGCTCCATTCCTGCCCCATCCTCCCTCCCCCCCCTCTCCTAAATCCTTATTATCATACCTCTTCCAAGTGCTACATAGCAGGAATGGATTAGTGCTTTCTCCTGAAAATGGCTTTGTCCTATACAGAGTATCTTTCACAATAACGTAGTTGTAGAGTTGATTGTGGACTTATCGGGCAGTTGAAGTCATTTTGCCTTAAAAATGGTTCTGACAAGTTAGGTTACAACTGACTGCGATAAAAGTTCTAAATGACATTTATTTATTTTAAGTTCTATCTGACCTTTTAAACACGTCTTTAGCTAGGATTTTTAATATATATATTTGTTATGTTACAATAGTTACATGGACTTCATATAAATATATATATATATATATATATATATATATATATATATATATATATATATATATATATATATATATATATATATATATATATATATGGCTTTAAATGGTACGTGCATTCAGGACACTGAGCCTCGCACTTCATACACAGAGATCACACTAACGTGATGCATCAAATGAACAAATCCACAAGGGCCGTGACGAGGATTCGAACCTGCGTCCTCTCGCACTTCATTCCTGCCAAGTAATAGCCTGACTGTGGCAGGATAGTATTCCGCTAGGAGGGGACGTGAGTGGTAGGAGGCGGCAGTATACCAACCACAACAACCTATAACCCACCATCTGTCAACCACAGGCTTGAGTGGGTCCAGCGGGGGCGTGACGTCCGCCTCGCCTTACTCCTCCCTGGCCAGCAAACTGGCTGGCTACCCGGGCTACCAGCGACCGCCGCCGCTCTCCAAGCCCCAAGACCAGGCTCGATTCCCTTCCCTGTTCTACTCTCACGCTTCCTCGTCCGCTACACTCTCGCTCTCGGCCTCCACGTCGTCCTCCTCGTCGTCGTCGTCTGCTGCACAATCGGTGTTCCCGCCTCTGCTGCCGCTGGTGAGGGACCCGCGCGCTACCTACAGGTAGGTCACGACGCTCCGTCAGGCGCACGATGGCTGGAAAGCTTCGGTAAACAGTACTTCATTTATAACTGAACTAGAAAAGGGGAGGGAGGGAGGGTAACCTGGGGTTGTGCAGGGTCACGGACGCCACATCTTCACTATACACTATCTTTATCACTGTATATATAACCATCTTTATTACGGCAATCTTTCTTATACACTATACCCTATATATTGTAATCATCTTAAATATACACCTTCCCTCTTCTTCACCACCTTCCCTGCCTTTCACCACCTTCCCTGCCTTTCACCACCTTCCTTACCCATCACCACTTCAAGATTACAGGGACGAACGGAATGATTATGGAGTCTTTCGATTAGGGTGACTGGAAATTAATATGATTTGCCATTTCATCCTAGGGAGGGAAGGAGGGGGGGAATGGGGAAAACGACCCAGACCCGCCTATGGCCATCCCCGACCAAAAAACCAGTCACCCTGCAAAGTTGGATGAGAGGCTGCAGGCTTTGAAAGTCACAAGTTCAAGTATAGACAAACTAGTCACGAACGCCTTAGTGACAGCTAAATATCTAAACCGAACTCTATAATCCCCCCCTAAATCCTAAATCCTATAAAAGCTAAATCCTATATGTTCTTCTCCAGTGACGATGATCTGTCTTCTCGTGATACATTTTTCCAAATTCATGGTTTACGAGTTTACAATTTGTAGGCGCAGTCTGCCCAGGAAGTTGACTCTTATATCTTATGTGGTCTACCACATAATGTAGCGTAAACCTGCGCATCCTCTTATGCGTTTGGTTTCCATATTCTTCCTCTCTATTCAATGCCAATGGGATGAACGAAGAGCCACTTAAAAACGGCTCTGTTAGAACTGTTGCGAGCGCCAGCTGTTACTACTGTTAGAACTGTTGCGAGCGCCAGCTGTTACTACTGTTAGCTGTTACTACTGTTAGAACTGTTGCGAGTGCCAGCTGTTACGAGTGGTGTTGTGTGTGTGTGTGTGTGGCGTATGCTCTATCCTGTTGCTCTAACCAGTTCTCTATCTACAGATACCCGCTGATCAACCCTCTCAGCACCCCGCTCCTCTATCCGCCTTCCTTCCACGCCCTGCTCGCCCAACTATCCGCCCACCACAAGGCAGAGACCGCCGCCCTCGATTCCACCTACAGCACCAGCGAGTCCGCCCACGACCACGCCCACTACAAGCCGGAGACGGCCCAAGACGTCCCTCAAGAAGACGAGTCCTTAAGCGGTGACCTTCGCGACCCTCCGGAAGAGGATGGGATACCTCCACAGCGGGAGACTAAACCCTCTCCACCAAGCTCTGAAAAGGAGGATGAAGATGGAAACGCAGAAGAAGCGAATCATAAAGAAGAGAGAGCGAAGGAAGAAGGGAGCAGCGCAGGTAGAAACTTGGGAATGAAGGGGGTGGAACCCCGCTCCACCGAGGCGCCTCGAACTGTGGATGTCAAGGGTCTGGCCACGCTGCGGGCTCTCGAGCACTACCGCGGCACCCTAGACATGCGCGCTCTGGAGGAATATCGGCGAGCGCTGGAGATGCGCACTCTGGAGGCCCGCGCCGCGCAGATCAACGCTCAAGCGCACATGGAGGCTGCCCAGCTGTGTGGCAGATCATCCACCCCGTCGCCTGACCCCATCCCGTCCACCCACACGCCGCCGGAGTCCCCGTCTCTCAACGACGAGGCCCTCACCGTCAAGCGACCAGAGTACAACATCGACTCGCTGCTGAAGAAGGAAGCGTGAGCCTCCGTCAGCAGTGAGCCCGCGCCTCAAGCCCGCGCCACCCCTCATGACGGCAAGCAATCAACTACCTCCGCATCATTGCCGCTGAGAATCTATTTATGCATTCCCTTACGTTGTCTTCAATGTTCAGTTGTTTAGATCAGAATCACTTGTTGGTTATACTGTATATTATATATATATATATATATATATATATATATATATATATATATATATATATATATATATATATATATATATATATATATATATATATAGCGAGGAACATTTAGACTGACACCTATACTAGTTTTAAATCACTGGGTTTTACCTGTTAAAATGAACGTTTGTTTCACCTGTTTTAGCGTCATCACCGGTACCACCTCGAGCTGTTTCTTTTAATATCTCATCTTCACTTTTTTATAACAAAAAATACAAAATAAAAAAACAAGGCAGCATTTACAATAGGTCACGAGATATATTTCAGAACGCATTTACAGTTATCTGTAAATAATGACATTTTCCAATCCGACCAAGACGATTAGGTATGATTTTCCCCCGAATAATAGATATCAGGAATACTTACGATAGCAGCGAGTGAGGGAGATCCAGGCCGTCTGGTGGGCAACTTACCTGCCGGAAATAAGAAAAACAGAAATAAGAGACTGATATTGAGGTAAGAAACTGTTATGTCACTATGTCGGTGCTGTGAAAGGTCCACCAGCTCCGTTCCTGAACCGATTATGTGCCTCTGTAATCCTTTACACCACCGCCCACGGGATGGGTATGGGGTGCATAATAAAGAAAGAAATTGAAAATTGAATCCACTAGACTACAGTTATATAAGCAACTATTGGTTAAGTTTGTAATTATAAATAGTAACATAATAAGCTTTAAATAGCCTCTAGTTGATCTCGAATATTTATAGTTTTAAATACTAACTATAAATTATAATTATTTTAGAATATCACGAAGAGAAATACATAATGAGCAATTGGTACGTATCGTCTAGAAATGGTGGCGCAACTTTTCCTATTGGGGCATTACTGAAATATTCTACAATTTCAAGAAAAACGAATTTGCAGATACACGCGTTTTGTAAACAAATAAGAAAATATATGTAACAGATCAAAACACTGTGTGCTTGAAGCAGTCACGCTCTACTGACTCCGACTATAGAATAAACAGTAGAAAACGTGGTATAACACAGTACTTTATAGGATAAACTATAGGAAACTATAGATTGACCGTGGCAGAAAATGCGACATCCAGCACCAGATTTTTTTTACTGTACAATAATTTAATATTAATTAAAAACAAAATGCAATTGTCATATTTATGATTTCAATTATCACTGCACATAGTTCCATAATTTTAGGCATATTGATACATTTAAAGTATTGATTATCAACCAAAAAAAATGTTATATTTGGATTCAGGAGCCACAGTGTTGAAAAAAGTTCCGTGATTATCCACATTTTTGTTTTAAATTATTATCTATGAACATGATTAGCAGGGCCTTGACGGGGTCAAGTAATAGTGACAATCTTTAACGCATTCTCATTTTGCCAGCGATAGCAGATAACAACCTCGATCTGTTATCTTATATGGAAGTTGTTATCTTATACTTGGCATGGAAGCCTCAACAGTGGATAACACACGTGAGATGCAACTCCAATAAGCTTTATTTACGCGAAACTGGAACTATCTCGGTTGCAACATTAAAACAAAAAAAAAATGGTTTCGAAACGGGATGCACAAAAGTTACTTTCTGAAACCACAATTTTATCAATAGCTAAATGTGTAGTAAGGTAACTTTGGGTGATTGACAGAGGTGGACACAGCGTATCTGTGTCCACCACCTCCGTCTAACGGAAAATGGAAAAAAAGGAAACTAAAAAGAGTATCCTCACATTTTTCACGATGCAACTTTTAGCCGACAATAATATTAACACAATATATATATATATATATATATATATATATATATATATATATATATGTGCGGAAAATCCACAGAGAAATATGAAATGAGGTGAACGTTTCGGCTTGTTAAAGCCTTTGTCAACACCAGACTGACCAAAGGCTTTAACAAGCCGAAACGTTCACCTCATTTCATATTTCTCTGTGGATTTTCCGCATAAAATGATCAGTGTTTTGTGATCGTCAATTGCATATATATATATATATATATATATATATATATATATATATATATATATATATATATATATATATATATATATATATATATATATATATATATATATATATATATATATATATTTTTTTTTTTTTTTTTTTTTTTCCACCAGTCGTCGTCCTCCCCAAGTGCGTGAACTCAGCTTAAATCTCAGCTAAAGCCTCGTAATAGTAATAATATTTTCTTGTTAACATTTAGTTAACATCATTTGTCTTGCTTCTTTTCTCCGATTTGTTTTGTACTTATAGTATAGTTAGCGCATCCTCATAAGTATATAGTTAGCGCATCCTCATAAGTATATAGTTAGCGCATCCTCATAAGTATATAGTTAGCGCATCCTCATAAGTATATAGTTAGCGCATCCTCATAAGTGCAAACCAATTAGGCATCAATGGCTAATAACCAAATATAGTTGTTAAGTTCTTGTTATCATGTGTTTCGTGTTAGTGTATTTTTTTTTTTTTAATAATTTGCTGTAGTCAATAGTGTATTTAGGCGTTGTATTGTTGTATTCGCTTCTGGAGCTCGTGTTAAGGTGCAAGTTGCTCGAACGGTAGTAAATAGAAGCCGTTCTTGAAGGCCATGTTGCACAGAGTTGCAATAGAAGCCGTTCTTGAAGGCCATGTTGCACAGAGTTGCAAAAGAAGCCGTTCTTGAAGGCTATGTTGCACAGAGTTGCAAAAAAGCCGTTCTTGAAGGCCATGTTGCACAGAGTTGCAAAAGAAACCGTTCTTGAAGGCCATGTTGCACACAGAGTTGCAAAAGAAACCGTTCTTGAAGGCCATGTTGCACACAGAGTTGCAAAAGAAACCGTTCTTGAAGGCTATGTTGCACACAGAGTTGTTACGGGAGGTTGATGCCGTCAGAGATGGCAGTCGACCTCTGTTACGCCAGCCCGTTCTCTTGACCTGCCACAACGTACAAAATACAAAGTGCTAACCTAACCAGAGACGTGCGAACCCAAGCCACCCCCCTAACCTAACCAGCCTGCAGAGGTAGAGACAACGTGGATATCTGTGACTTCGCTACTTGACGTAGTACCTTGCTACTTGACGTAGTACCTTGCTACTTGACGTAGTACCTTGCTACTTGAAGTAGTCCCTTGCTACTTGACGTAGTACCTTGCTACTTGACGTAGTACCTTGCTACTTGACGTAGTACCTTGCTACTTGACGCAGTACCTTGCTACTTGACGTAGTACCTTGCTACTTGAAGTAGTCCCTTGCTACTTGACGTAGTACCTTGCTACTTGACGTAGTACCTTGCTACTTGAAGTAGTCCCTTGCTACTTGACGTAGTACCTTGCTACTTGACGTAGTACCTTGCTACTTGACGTAGTCCCTTGCTACTTGAAGTAGTCCCTTGCTACTTGACGTAGTACCTTGCTACTTGACGTAGTACCTTGCTACTTGACGTAGTCCCTTGCTACTTGACGTAGTACCTTGCTACTTGAAGTAGTCCCTTGCTACTTGACGCAGTACCTTGCTACTTGACGTAGTACCTTGCTACTTGACGTAGTACCTTGCTACTGTACGTAGTACCTTGCTACTTGACGTAGTCCCTTGCTACTTGAAGTAGTCCCTTGCTACTTGACGTAGTACCTTGCTACTTGACGTAGTCCCTTGCTACTTGAAGTAGTCCCTTGCTACTTGAAGTAGTCCCTTGCTACTTGACGTAGCACCTTGCTACTTGACGTAGTACCTTGCAACTTGACGTAGTACCCTTGCTACTTGACGTAGCACCTTGCTACTTGACGTAGCACCTTGCTACTTGACGTAGTACCTTGCTACTTAACGTAGCACCTTGTAACTTGACGTAGTACCTTGCTACTTGACGTAGCACCTTGCTACTTGACGTAGCACCTTGCTACTTGACGTAGTACCTTGCTACTTGACGTAGTACCTTGCTACTTGACGTAGTACCTTGCTACTTGACGTAGTACCTTGCTACTTGACGTAGTACCTTGCTACTTGACGTAGTACCTTGCTACTTGACGTAGTACCTTGCTACTTGACGTAGTACCTTGTACTTTAACGTAGCACCTTGTAATGCGTACAGTGGGTGGGGGGGGGGACCGTAAGGTACAACATACATTGTGCTAGTTGAGAGAGGACGGGTCGCACCGTGTACAGTGTTACTACGTGTTTAGAACACACTCTTGTACAATCCAGCACTGTAATCACACCTTAAGTGTTATTCAGAAGTTAGATGTATACCCCCAAAAAACTTTATAATATATATATTCTCACTGTATAACATATAGAATAAATCTCGTGTAAATAGTCGAATTATAATTTAGGTTCTGTTCCACCAGCCGATATGGGAGCAGAGCGAGACGTTTGGGGAGGGGGAAGGGGGACGTTTCTCCGCACCTGATGCATCTGTTCACCTTGCAGTCAATAGGCACCTGGGAATTAGTCGACTATTATGGCTTGCATCTTGGGATGCAAGCTTTGGGGATACTCAAGAAGCCTAAAAGACCTTCGGTCTCCCATAATAGCAGTCAGATACAGACACCCTGACGGAGACATCCCCAGATGTGGGCTCTGCGAAGCCCAACCACTTGGGCTGGACGGTAGAGCGACGGTCTCGTTTCATGCAGGTCGGCGTTCAATCCCTGACCGTCCAAGTGGTTGGCTTAACATTTCTTTCCCCCCGTCCCATCCCAAATCATTATCCTGACCCCCTTCCCAGTCGTAATGGCCTGGCGCTTGCCCCCTGTACTTGCCTCCCTCCGCGAGGCCCAAGCCTCCTGCTCCTTACCATCTGTCTGGCGCGTGACGCGGAACTAAGTCATACTAGGTAGAACCTTCAGCAAGTTGTACACTCACCAGGTGATGTACACTCACCAGGTGATGTACACTCACCAGGTGATGTACACTCACCAGGTGATGTACACGAGGTAGCTGGGACGGTGC